GCCCGGGGACTCTGCCAAAGAAGGAAATGAGGCTTGTCTGGCATACCAGCTCAGCCAGACAAACCTCATTTCCTTTCTGACAGGGTAAGAAGTCCCAGTTTTAAAAAGAAACTAGCCCCTAGGAATGAAAGAACTCCCACCTTCTGAGAGAAAGGCGGGGGAGGGGGGTCCTGGGGATGTGGCAGAACCTTGGCAAAACCTAGAATGTGGTCATCTTCTCATTCCCTCGCCCTCCCCACACACCGCTTGCCTCTGACAAGAGCAGCAACCACTCCTTACTGGGGAGTCTCCACTCAGGCACCTCCAGGACCCTACCTCCCTGGCCACCATATCCCTGACTCCAAAGGCCATCTGTAGGCCAGATATTTGGCATCCAGGTCACCATCTCCCATGGGATAGAGGCTGTGAACAGGAGACCTGGTGCCCATCCACCGGCTTGCATAACTAGGTTCTGCCTGGCCTAGACTTGGTTCTGGATCCTGTGTGGAGGGGGAGACCAGGACAGAGCTTGCTGGAAGAAATGGCATGGCCAGGATCATGTCCTTGGGCCCCTTCCTCTGATCTACCTCCCTTCCTGGTTCCTTAGCACCTACTAGGAGGGTTCAAGTTGTCCTCACCTTCCCCAAGGCTGCCATTCCAAACACCTTCCCTCAGGTGGACAGAAAGGCCACTGGTGAGATCCTGGGTGTCTCCAGAGGTTCCCACCTGTGCCCTAGAAGAGGGAAAAGGAAGATCCTAGCTCTTGGGGGTGTGCACCTATATCTGTGGAATTTGTACATGGCAGTCTGTATGTACATGTCAGCACGTGCTCACGTTTTTAAAAATGTAAGAAGTGCTGGGCTAGTTCCACAGAACAGTAGCACACTGCTCAAGAGAAGCAGAATTCCACATGGCAATGACAATTCAAATTTCAGCCTAGTCAGCCTGAAACACACTGGGCACAGGACGAGTGCCCAAGACCCTAAGGGCTAAAGGACTGAAGGAAGGGGATGATGGCATGACCAGACCCTGTGGAAGATGCCCACCCTCACTCTCACATGCATGCAGTGCTTGCTCTATCAAGAATAAAGCAAATATTTAACAAGTGATTATAACACTTCTAATGTTTATTATTATGAGCCAGGCATGTCCTAAGTGCTTTATATGAATCTTTATAGCCACCCTATGAAATAGGTACTACTATTACTCCCAGATCAGGAAACAGAGGCACTGAGAAATCAAGTCATTTGTTCAAGGTCACAGAACATCTAAGAGCCAGTGGTAGGATTTTTTATTTTTTTAAGAATTTAGTTGGGGCCAGCAAATGGTGTAGTGGTTAAGATGATGAATTCCCACATGGTTGACAGCAGTTCAAATCCTGAACTTGGTGACTTGAAATCTGCCAGATACATGTGTATGCACACTCAGAATCCCAAGAGGAAAGTAGAGGAGAAAGGATTGTGGTGTGGCCATCCCCCCAGGGGAGTGATTTCTCACTTTCTGTCTCTTTGTCTCTCCAGCGAGCACACACACCCTACAGCAACAATGTCTCTTTAAAAAAAATATTTCATTTTTCAATTTATTATTATTTTTAAATTTGCTATAAGACAGATATACTCACCAGAGAGAGAAAGAGAGAGAGAGAGAGAAAGTGAGGAAGTAAGCCACGAGATCCAGATGCAAGACTTGAACCATGGCCAGCCATATGGGAGTCCAGTGCCTTAACTGGTCCTGTGGTGGCAAGATTTGAACTTAGGCATTCTGGTTTCTCATAGACTCATCCAGGTGTGTTATTCATGTTAGCTCGTATGCATGTATAGGAATAGAAAAGTCATCCGTGTAAAGTATCACAACTGACACTCCCATACAAAAGATAAGGTAACAAGAGAAAAGCATAACTAATGTATTTAATTAAGGTTCTACATGACATGGGAGCCTTTGGAAATGACCCAAAGCTACAAGGAAAATTCCACGTTATGCTTAGGTTTGATGAAGAACAGCCACCATGTAGCAATATCATTGGGCAACAGGGTATAACCCCTGCAAGGCCTGTCTGTTCCTACCCTTCCTGATCTCTCCATGTCGCACTCCTTCCTCCCAGTGATGGGCAGGACCTCTCTAGAAGCAGCATTCAGAGAATTTCGTTTCGGCTAGCTCCTACACAGAAAGGCAAGGGAAGGTTAGAGTAATAATACTAGTTTTTATGACTGGCTTTGGGAAAACGTTTTAGTTTCTGTAACTCACTTTGGGGAGAAATATTCGTTTCTATAACTTCACTTTGGGGTCAAGTAAGGGATAAGATGCAGGAGGGCAAGAACAGGTCAGAACGATCTTGGTTCTAAGACTGCTTCTGAGGCCTCCCAACGTCCTTTTGCCGAAAGTACGCAGCATGTCAAAAGATGCCATACTTTGGGGTATTGTTTTCTGAGCCGTCACACATCTGTGTAGCTACGTATGCCTTTGGGAAGGGAAAGGTGAACTTACTTTTCATTCATTCATTTAACCTAGACCTTACAGCTTTCAATGACCTGTGTTCAGATGAGCTCCTGGACAGTGGAACACGAGGAGGTGTCTACCAGACACGAGGAGGGTAGCCTACCAGAGAAGACATAGAAGTGCCCCTTCCCTTCCCACATGGCTTGTCCTATGCATTTTTTCATCTGTGTCCTTTGTTTTTTGTTTTTGTTTTTATAGTTTTTTTGCTATAGGGTGCATGCACTCACCAGAAAGACAGAGAGACAGAAAGCAAAAAATCACCCCCCATGGGGGATGGTCACACCGCAATCCCTTCTCCTCCATTCTCCTATTGGGATCTTGGGCACATACACACACATGTGCCAGGTGTGAGTTTAAGCCACGGGGTCCGGGTCTTGAACCGCGGTCCACTACGTGTGAGTCCAACAACGTAGCCATTGTGCCATCTGCTGGTCCCCATCTGTATCCTTTGTAATATCCTTTATAATAAACCAGTAAACCTAAGTAAGTGTTTCCAAGAGTCCTAGCAAATTCATCTAACCTAGCGAAGGGGTTGCAGGAACCCTAATTTATATAGCTGTCAGAAGTATGGGTCACAACCTACTACTTATGACTGGCATCTGAGGTCGTGGCAGTCTTGGGGGGACTGAGCCCTTACTTAACCCGTGGGATCTGACTCAAGCTCCAGGTGGATAGGGATGGAATTGAGTTAAATGGTAGGACACCAAGCTGGTGTCGACCGGAGAACTGCTTGTGGGTGGGGAGAAATCCCCACTTACAGCATCAGTGGTGAAGTGTGGAAGAAGAGAAGAAAAAAAAACACTGGCTTTTCGTCAAAGTCTGTAAGGCAGCACTTTGTCCAAAGGACCAGAGTCGTCCGGTGTAAAAGTCACATCTTAATGCAGGCCACCCCTATTCAGGCCCACGGTCACCAGAAGTCCCTCCAGCAGTCACACAATGAATGAAGTAAGTCAGATGGCCCTGGGGTGGCCACAAGGGGCTGCCCTTCTTGCCCCATTTCCCACCTGGCCCCCATATGCATAGCTCCCCGAGCAGGGCCTGCAGCTCTCTCTACGCCTGGCCAGCAGGGGTGTCCTCTCCTGCACACTGGTGTCCTCAACCCGACCAGCACATAAGGGGCTGCTGATCCTGACAGGACCACCACGGAGGAGAGGGAGGTACCTGCAGCACTTGCTGCCTCACAAACTGGGGTGACACCTAAGAGTCCTCAGAGCGTCTGAAGAAATTTCCTGGGGCTTCCAAGAAACCTTATTTTGAACAACACCATTTAAGTTACACTGCAAATGCCTTATACAAAAGGATCTGAGATCTGTATCTTAAAAATCCTGAACTTTGTTGAAAATGGCAGAATGTGACCAGGGAACTGCCAGGGAGAATTCCTACTGTGAAATGGCACTGGATACTACACAACTACACAGCGGCAGGCATTGTTTTAGATTTATCTTTTTTTTGGGGGGGGGAGAGGTTTTTGCTATAGAGCACGTGTACTCGCCAAAAAGACAGAGACAGAGACAGAAAGCGAAAAATCACTCCCCGGGGAGATGGCCACGTCGCAATCCCTTCTCTTCCATTCTCCTCTCGGGATCTTGGGCACGTACACGCGCCCGCTATGAGTTTAAGCCACTGGATCTGGGACTCGAACCATGGGCAACTACATGGGAATCCAGCGATATAGCCATTACACCAACTGCTGGCCCCAGATATATCATTTCTTTTAAGCCTCAAAAGTAGCCCTCTATCCCTCCCTGCAGCCAGGACACACCCCTTGAACGAGGAGTGGACGGATTGCTGATGAGACAGGTCTCTGCTTTCCTCAGCTCCTCCCAGCAGGCAGCCCCAGCTCTAAGAGAGCCCAAACTCCTTAAATCAGAAGAAAAAGCACTTGCAGTTACAAAGATAGGGCCATTTATTCATGTTATATTACTGAATTTTTAACGCAAAAATACAGTCCTGTTTTGAACACAAAGGTCAGACAATGATCAAAATATGTTTGCATACACGGAAAACTAAAATACATAGCACAACAGGTCTCTAGGACATGAAAGCTGTCTCCTGGGTGTGTGGAGCACCCATACCCAGCCCTGTGTCAGCAGAGATCCTGTCCAGGCTGAGGGCCAGTGCAGCATTTCCCTCACTGCCTGTGTTACCTCTGCCCTCCAATCTTCCTGAAAGGTCACTTCACACGGGATGGACAGAAGCAGAGAAAGGCACAGCATATGATAACGTCATGGTCATGACTCCAGGTGAAGGCGATGCTCCCTGAGCCCTCAGCCCTAGAATCTGTAGTGAGGAAGCAAGTCCCACAGCATCTTATGGACTAGGCAAATGCCCAGACCTGACTGTGCCTTGGCTATGTCCTGGGCCCAGCTGGGCCCCGTGAGAGCACTGGAAGGTCAGCAAAGGAAGGGAACAGGTAAAGCCATGTTTTCCTTGGTGAGGAGAATGAATCACATACTTGGCATGAGCAAAAATGTACAGGGGGAAAAAAAGAAAGAAAAAGAAGGGGCAGAATTTTATTTTGAAAGTAAGCAACAAGGATGTTACCACTCAGGGCATTTGTCTCCTTTCTTCTAAGGCACTTTGGAAAAGTCGGGATCTAAGGAAGAAAGAGAGGCCTCATTCTTTGCACTTCCCAAAATGCCCTCTTAGTGCAATCATTCCTAGTAAATAACATTCTTACAAAGGAGCAAGGAACTGACAGAGGAATACTCTTGGCATTAGCCCAAATGCTTCTGCAGTGGAAAATCATTTTTAACCAATACAAAGGCTTGTGCGAAAAGAATCAAGTTACTATTTGAGATTCTCAATGGGATAAAGGCACAGATAAGATAGGGCTGGGCACCAGCTCAGCTTCCACACCAAAGGCAGGTGCCAGGAGGGCTGTGGTTGCCACACGTGAAGGGCTCGCCCCTGGGATCAGGCAGCAGAATCTCAGCACCTCAGCCCACGCTGGATCTGGCAAGGTGCTCAGTAGTAGGACGTGTCTCACACCATCTCACCCTAGGAGGCTACATGTCTCCCAGAGGTGGGTTTGTGAAAGGCACCCCTGTGAGTCAACCTCACTGGGGTGGGAGCACCTGCTGAAAACCTGAGGGGAAATGGGAGGCTTTAGGCACCACGGGTCTTGGGAGGGAGTCAGAATGTGAGTTCAGCTAAACTTCTAGATCTCTAATTAAAAGGCACAGTCATATTGGAGAACGAATAATCTGTGACCCTGAGTGACACAGGCAAGTTTTAGGGAACAGAAAAGAGGTAAAGGGGGAAAAAAAAAGGTAGGGAGGACAGGAAGGAAGAAGGAGAAAGGAAGGGCAAGAGAGGAAGGAAGGGAAGGGAGGTGGGAATGCCAGATAGGCCAGGGAACAGGGCAGGCAGAGCCTCCCAGAGTGGTGGCCCTGCCACATGGAGGTTTGCTCCACGTGGGGAGGCTATGGGCTAGAAAACAACCTGATTGCTGCTACTCACAACCCCACAGCCAGATGCCCAGAGGGCTCCATCTGAGGGAGCTGAGGTTCCCTCCACCCTGCCCACCTGGGGAGAGTGAGGGGGTGGGGAGTTTAGAAGCGTCGGTCTCCCAGGTCTCTCTGGCTGAGGTCTGGCAGGATAATGCTGACAGGGAGGCCTTGCCCAGTCAAGGGACCTGAAGATGATTTTGCTTTTCAGAAAACCTGGCCTGCCAGCTAAATCAGAGGCCCAATTGTGGCCACTACAGCATACATTATTATTTTTTTTTTTGCCCTTAAAAATGCTCAATCCCCTCTCCCACACTGAAAACACCACAATAAAAATACATACGAAATTCAAGTTTACATAACATGCCCAGAAAAATAAATGGTCAGGACTTAATACTAGACAGCTATGCAAATTTGGATCAACATAAAATCAAGCTAGATCATAATTAGAATTCGATTCATTCTTTCTTTAAAATACTACAAACTGCTATATTTAAAAAAATCTTTACATTCAGAAATCAGACAATCTGGAGACAAGCCACCAAATGTGAGAACGCCCAAGGCTTCTGCTCTGATGGCTAAAGATGCCTTGGAATTCACACCTTAAAGAACAAAAGGCCCAAGAAGACACACACACACACACACACACACACACACACAGTGATTGTAATAGTTGCATACCACCAAAAGAAGGTGTGTGGGAGGAAGGACATAAAATGAGAATGGTCAAAATTATTTTTTTCTGTTAAAATATGACAACCAAAAAATATCACAGCAATCAGATTTCAGCAGCACTCTCCAATTTTTCATGATGCAATAAGAACACCACAATTTAAAGCAAAAATATGACCTATTTCACAACAATGTATCAGTTCCATCACTGGGAATGAGTCCCCACAGTTAGCAAACTTTGGGCTGTATCCAGTTCTGACTCTGGGGTGACAATAAACATGTCAAAATTCCCCAAAAGGCTGGCGGCTTCTATACTGATGAATACCTTGGAGAGCTTAAGAAGTCACATGCTGAGTCAACGTGGGGGCAAACTGTCCCACTTGTCCTGGTCATCTGGAAGGCATCTGAGTGATGAGCAAAGAGGACCGGTCACTCAGATTAATAAAAATGAGAGGGACCAGCCCAGCAGAGCAGCAAGGACACACAGCAGAGGTCCCTGGCTGTTTTCAGGTCTCTTCTTAGTGTATCAAAATGCTAGCTCGGTGTCCCGATGTCCACTGTGATTTTGGTATATAACGGGTATCTCTCTATGTTCAACACCTGGTAGGTGAGTGAGTTCAGACCATCAGAAAACATTGTCTCCTTTGTGTGTGCAATTCGGTCAAACCTACAAAGAAAAAAAGAGCAAGGTGATGATATAAAATCTTAAAAAGCAGCCATTAAATGTGCTTCATCCCCCCCACTTTCCTCCTACTCCACTCCTGCCCCAGGGACCAACATCTCCGCTTGAGGCATAGAGCTCTCTGCATCCTGCAGCATTCCCCACCCCAAAGGGGGGAGGAGGAGGAAGACAAGTAAATGTCCAACACACCTCTGAGGATTAGGTTCATTTTTCTTGTCTCTTGAGTGGCGGATCATGCGACACTTTCCGATCACAGCATTTGGGCGCGATATAGACATGCCTTTAAAAACTAATCTGCAAACAATGAACAGACAAGCCATTACCACAAAGCAGCTATAAGGCTTGTTGCCCTATCCACCATGCTGCTTGCTGCTCCCTCCCAGCCCATACCCAGCATCATCCCAGGACCACACTGACTGGAACTCACACTCCTATTGCACGTCCTTGTGTGACTGGTGTGTGGTGTTGACTATCAGGTGCCAGGCACTGGGCATGTCTGCCTCACAGAACTTACAGTGTGAAGGCTCAGCACATAGGGCCTTCAGTGCCAGGATGGAGGTAAGAGGAGGAAGCCTTCTGGGATGGCACAGAGTAAGAAGCAACTTGATTTTGCTGCAATGTGACCGTGCAGAGCTGCGTTATGAGAAGAAACAGTATCTGCCGGAGTTAGAGCAGCCAGCACGGGCAAAGGCTTGGTGACAACAAGCAGTGCCCTCAGGGAGTAAGCAAGCCTGCAGGGGGAGGAAGTGGCAGATGATGATGCAGGAAAGAAGGGAAGCCTAAATCATGGCAGCCTCTCATAGCGTCTCAACAGAACCAGTGTCTGAAATGGATATAATATGCAGTTCTCCCAAATTATTTTGGCCTTAAGGAAGTCTCTCTGGTGCAGAATGTAGGAAAGGAAGGCAAACAAGAGGCAGCTAGAACAGGGTGGAGGATTCTATGATGGTCCGGGGAAAAGAATGAGGACCAAATGTAAGCTTTGACAGCAGGACTATCAAAGTTAGTTAGGAGATAAGGTTGGCTAATCCTGGACAGCTTAACGGTTTCTC